TTATATATATATATATATATATTATATATATAGAGAGTAGAGAGTAGAGAGAGAGAGAAACGAGAGAGTCATGGCTCTAAACGAATCAAATTAGAGCTTACCTTCAAATAGTATCGAAAAATGTAGTTTCAGTATTGGAAATCTTTGTGATATGCTTAAAATATATTTTTATATTTATTTATGAAGTTTAAATCTTCAAAAATAGTGTAGATCGACAGATCTATGAAAATCTTGAAAATTGACGATTCAAAAATGCGTTACAAAATACACTATTTTTAAAACTTGAAATCTAGTTTTTCTCATGTCCATGCATCTTGATATTTGAAGATATTTGAGCATCAAAACAACCTCTTCTAGTAAAATTTTTGAGGTAGGCTCAAATTTGATTGTTTAGAGCCTCAGCTAGCTCTCTCTCTCTATATATATATATATAATTGAACTTGAGTGGTTAAAGATCACAAGGGAATCAAGAACTCAATCGCTGCATAAGCCAACTTTTTAATAATAGTTTATTTAGGATAACACTTAAAAATACTCTTGATTGAATTTCTACAATACTTAATTCATGATTCATCATTATCTACTGTTGGTCATAATTATCCAATAATATTTGAATTTTAATATTTTTATAAGTCTAATTATCTGAAACTTGGGGAGTCAATATATCTAACTAATTCGCACTTAAAATATCTAAAGATTAGTATTAAAAAAAAAATACCCCAAAAAATATTTATTAGCAGTAATTTGGTCATTTTTATGATTTTAAATATTTTTTTATAATTTATTTAGGTGTTCTTCACTAAGATGCATATACCCACTAAATTTAAAGTTAATTATATTTGTAAAAAAATTATGTAAAATTTGAATACCATTAAACAATCGTGACCATTCGATTGACTTTAAACGGTGACGAACACATGAGTGGAATACAATACAACGGCATTCGTGAGTGTTTTTAAGTGTTTTCCTTTTACTCGTTGAAAAGAAATACACCTTGCTATTCTATTTCAAAGAAAATATAATATACAGACTTGGGTGAACTTCCTACTTTAATGGTATTTTCCTTTTTGCGTTTTAATAACCACGAGTACATAAACGAACGAAAGATTAAAAACTGCATCTGTCTATGGGAAAACAAATAGGAATATATCTCTAGATTTTATTGGACCATGCATGTAGCCCCTTGAAATGCAAATCCTAGCCGTTCAACCATCGAGATCTAGGGGCCTGAAATACTTGGCATCCATAAGGAAAGTGCCAATGGTGAGCCGCACTGCCCACACATCCTTGGGCTTTCTTGCAACAATTCTGCCCATAAAATAATTATGCATTAGGAAATTGTTTCTATCTAAATCCCGAAATTTCATTGAACAAAGTTTCAGTGGCAAAGAACTCATGGAGAGATTGATTTTCTTAGAAACAGGTTTCCATTTATTTCAAAATAAATCCAGATTCAAATAAAAAATAATTAATTAATAAAGTACTTCTATTTAAAACCTGAATTAAAAAAAAAAAACAGTAGCAAACAAAATATAGAGGTTGATTTTCTTATCAAATAAATTTCCTTTCTTTTCTTTTTTTTTCCTGAGAGAGAATTTGATTGCTACAGTAAAATGGATTGAATAGGGGAAGGTAAGGGTTACCCAATCCCTCTCTTTCTTCTATCTTTGTGGTTCCTTTGTTTTGTTTTTTTTTTAATAGAGATACAGAGAGCAATATCAAAGAATTAAACAAGAAAAATTTTGCATAGATAGCGAGCAATTAGACAGAATATCATAGAATTAAACAAATATTATCCACAAAGAGAGAGAGAGTCCCTACCTCCCTACATCACCAGGCTTAACAAAACCATTGTTAATCTTGAGAGAAGGCATAGAATCTGCAGTCTTCAAAGTGGGTGGTGCCTCCACAAATATGATAGGCGATCCGATGCTTAGCTCACTCTTTCTCTCTCTTTCCGGAGCCTCACATTTTGTAATTATACTCATTTTTCGAGTGTTTGGAGATGCAGGAAGTTGCAGGGTTAGGGTGGGAAGGAGGTTGGCGTAGGATGAGATTGTGTTTGGATATGGAAATGAAGCCATGTTTCTGATAGAGGTAAGGTAGATGGTTTCTTTGTTTGGGTGGCTCTAAATACTTTGCTGCTTCATTTTGTTTTTGTTCATCTGTTGGGTCCTCTCTCTCTATAGAGATTGAGATCAGTCCTCTACTTGAGCACTACACCACAGTAAACACCCAATAGTCCAAATTCAATTTGGCCCTGTATTTTATATTTAAATTCTAATTGTTTTTATAAATTCAATTAGTTTGAAATTTTGAAAGTCTACTATTGAAAAATAGATGAACCTAATAAAAATATTAAAAAATAATTTACAAAAAAAACTAAATTAATTAAATTACCTCTAAAAGTTACATGAATATTATGGTCAATTTATTTGTTATGAATATTTTTTAAAATATTTTATTAAGTTCACTTTGATATAAAGAGTGGACACTCCAAATTTTAAAATAATTAAAATTAAAATAATTTGGATTCCTCTCTCTCTAAATATTTTTTGCTGCGTATTATTCTTTTGCTTTCTCTCAAAATATTTGCTGCTTGGTTCCCCCCTCTTTGTGCTTGGATGAGCTTTATTTTCTATTTTCTTTTTCTTTTTCTTTTTTTTTCACGGGTTCCATCTCTCTCTCTCCCCGGCTATATGCACGGCACTAAAGCCTTTAAAGTGAAATTGGGGACAAATATTGAAAATGGGCGCAATGTAACAACGCAATTTATTGTTATACTGTCTTTGTTAGAAACTTAGAATCAAGCGAACGTCATTCATAAGAAAAAAGTACACAAAGAGACCCTTTCTTTTTTATACAAAAAGGTCCAATCTTTATCAGATAGATTTCGAATTGGGTGATTATATAAGTGTCATAGACTCAAAATTCAAAAAAAAAAAAAAAAATACTCCCAAAACCATTCAATTTATCATATAATGACCAGGAGCAATCATGACTTTATACAAATATAAATAATCTCACAATATACAATCCTTATTCATATTCATAATCTATGTTAGATTGTTAGGTCAATTTTAGTCACTTGGGGGTTTGCTGAGGCAACTCCACTGACAATATATAAATTTGAAAGTTTCAAACTGAATGTCAAATCTCAATGATTTTTCGGTCTCTCTCTAGAATTACTTTTGTAGGAGTGCCTAAATTTGCAAACATATTGTTTACCGCATCACAATGCTAACACATTCTAGATCTCAAGGAACCCGCAAATCTGGCTCTAAAAAGATGAAACTGAGTTTAAATATGGAGGCAACAAAAGAATTTACAAACTGTACAGAAATTTGAAGAGGAAATTGCAGATTGCCAGGTGAGCAGAACCCACAAACTGGATGTGAGGACTACATCACCTTAACCAAAAACAAAGTCAAATACTCTCCCTTCCCAAAAATAACCCTCTCTCTCCCCTGCAATCCTGCTGAGTGGTGTTATCTCTTAGTATATGAGAAATATGGATCTTGGGCAATGGTCAGAACATCTGGTCTCTCGGCCTGGTTATATGTCAAGCATCGCCGAATGAGGTCCTGAAAATAGAGAGTAATGGAAGTGAAGACGAGCTGAAAGTATATGGTCACAAATCTTCATGTGTAACTTTCATTATCTAGCCTCTCTCTCTCTCTTACAAAAGTGCAGAGTGGTAATATAGCCATACAAAAAAAGAAAAAGGACAAAAAAAAGGAATTAGTAGCAGGCATGGATTTCCATATTAGAGGTAATCTAGAAAATATTTCAAAAACCCTTAGTGAGAGTGAGATCTTTTGAAACCAAAGATGAAATTTTAAGCCCAGTTGAGACCAGAAGTAAAAATGGAACTGCCAAAACTTGACAAGGTGAGGTTTCCATCTCTTCGTCAGGAAATAAGTGCCCCTGGAAGGCCTAATTCATTTTCCTTTATATCTGACAAGATAAATAAATAAATGTATGAGATAATAATGGTTTCACCTTTGCCTCATTTGACACCGAGGGGCGTGATGGAAACTCCACCTTGCGGGCCTTTATAATTGTGTCTTCCCGTAAGATCCTTTCCTGGGTCTGGTCATGGCCAAATGGGCGTTTACCAAAGAGCATTTGGTAGAGTAAAACACCAGCTGACCAAACATCAACCTATGCTCCAAAACAATAGCAATTTAAGAAAACCAGAAAGAGAGAGAGAGAGAGGTTGCAGATACAAAACATTTCTACAAATTACAAGGCTACAAAGGGGGCACTAATTTAAACTTGTTTAGAAACACGGCAGATAATATAGAAATAGAGTTCCTCTAATCCTAAAGGACTTAACAAAAAACTGGCACTAATTGTAAAAAGAAGACTTCTCCCTCTCTCCAAAACGGGGTAGAAATATGCTCCCTTTTTTCATTGCTCTCTCTTTAAAAGGGGGATGAAAATCCGCCCTGTTTTTCATCTCTCTCTCTCTCTTCTCTTCTTTTTGACAAGATGCCAGGCTCTAAAAAGAATCTAGTGGGAGAAATCCAAGTGTGTGAGAGAGGTCGAGAGAGTTGTCATGATGAAATGGTATGCTAGCCTTAAAGGAGAAATAAAAAGCAACTACCCACCTTTGATGATATAAGCGGTGTCTTGTTGAGCTCAAAGCACTCTGGAGGCAAGTACCTAAAGAAATACATGAAACAGTAAGCTCATAATCAGCCCAATCCAAAACCAGACAACAGACAATTTTTTGAGGTCAACATTCAAACAGAGCAAAGAATTTAACCCCAAGTTTGATTCCTACTGCTGGACTAACCCCATAAATAAATAAATAAAGATCCTAATAGGAAAAGGAAAAAAGAAGTATGCATACCAATATGTTCCAGCTCCTTGAGAAGTAAGCTCCATACCTTGGGATCCAACATCATCTTCCATTACCTTGCTCAGACCAAAATCAGTCACTTTTGCAACACCAACCTCATCAAAGAGAACATTCCCTGGCTTCAAATCATAATGAATAATTTTCTGTGGTCTCTTATTCAAGTATACAAGTCCTTGAAATATTTGAACAATTATTATACGAGCTTCCCTTTCCGGCAAAACTGGGGTAGCCTTTAGCACCGCATCAAGATCTTTTCCTGAAAGAAATCAGAGCAATAAATGATCTGATCCCAATGCATTGCAGCATATGAGGAAAGTATATACTATAATCTAATGGACTGTGGTCTACATTACTCCAAAGAGGTATGACCAACCATTCCTGATTATAGAAAGTGGATATTAACCATAGTGGGACCCACATGGACATTCAACCTGGTGCATTCAATCTCCACTTTCCATCTTTGGGAACAAATGGTGGATGCCTCTTCCAGGTATCATGCACCATACTCTATTGGATTATATGATACTCTCCCTCCTATAGGATAATATACAATAGATTTCAAAGTATTTGAGTATAGATATCTACAACATAGTTCAATGGACCATGAGAAGTCATAGCCCATTGGGTTCATCACCATCCAATAAAATGATAGAGAGAAAATGACGGCAACCATACAAATGGAGTCCAGTTATGATGGCTCTCACTCCATCTCCATTACCGACCAGCATTTCATCAGATGGCATTAATCCCAATGAACTGTAGTTTCGGTATCCCATTGGCCTATAGCAAAGCATTCACTTGAAGGAAGTTGGCATACCACTGCAATACTCTAAGACTGTACAGAATGTGTTGTGGTCAATCTCAAAGATGTCCCACAGACGCACAATATGTGGATGCACCAGTGTCTTATGGATGTTGTACTCTCGAATTGCATGCCGAATGTAGCTCTGCTTCTTCTCCTCACTCCACTGTGCATTCAAGCCGTGAAGCTTACATGCCACATATCTGTACTCCACCAAATCATATGCCTGCTTGACATTTCGCACTTCAAATCACTGCAAAAAAGTATAATCTCACGAATGCCTTTATAGGCAATTTATAGATCATAGGTCTGTTTTTATGAGAGAATAATTTCAAGGCTGTGAATCCCCTAAGGCTATTTCAATATATGATGCATTTGGAATTAATTCCTCATCATTTTTAATGCGCTAGAAAAATTGCCAATTGAGATGCATTTGGCATTACTTCCTTTTCTTTTTCTAGTAAAACAGAATAATGGAGAAGCTATATGAACATAAGGCTACGATAGAATACATGGGAGAGAACAGAACAAGAGATTTACCTTGTAAACCTCGCTAAATCCTCCCCTTCCAAGAAGATTTAGAAGAGCATATCGGTGGTTTAAAATTTGATAATTGTTGAATCGAGATCCATCCTCATCTCGAATGCGCTTCATCTCCCGAATATGCCTTCCTTTTTCTAGTTCATAGCGATCCCTCTCTCTCAGTGACATCTCTTCCTCCTATAAAAAGAAAGCAAAATGTCGCACGTCGCACATAGTAAAATTTGCTCAACAAGTCAACATCAATAATTATTCACAAAGGTTATACCATTATCAATGGACAATGAGGAACTTACAGGCCCTTGAGGTCATCACCATCCAATTAAAAGACGATAATGGAGAGAATTGGACCCACCAGAAAAGGACATGATCCCAATGGTGATCCACTCCACAATTTCACTAGAAAAGGACAACCCTAGTGAAATATGATTTCCCACATGGTCCATGGGCTTGTCGTCTAATTACCATCATGACTTAGTCCAATGCACCATGAACAACCATAGTCCATAGGGGTTATTGCCATCCATTGATATGGACATGTTGGGCAGATAATGGGACACAGTACTGTGGTCATGTCCTGTTCCTGTCGATCTCGTACTCCCTCCATAAATGGTCATCATTTCAATCAACAGTTATGGCCCAGAGGACTATGACTAATGAACTAGTCCATTGGCTCACATAGCTTACCCGTTTTATGCTGAGCAGCCGAGACTTGCATATCTCATCTTGAATAAGAAAGTCTTCTTCCGGTACTCCTCCATCATGATCACTTCCATCACTCTTATCTATAGGTTATATCATCATGAAATAAATATGACTATCATTAGCAACCAGGGACACTAAGTCAACAGGAAAATACTAATTATTAACAAGCAGCATGCCGTTGCAAAGATAAACCAGCAGACATTTCTTTTTTTATCTTGAGAGAGGTAAACTCTAATGGAGTAAAGTGATAACTCATTCACGATTCATAAATAGTCCAATTCTGGAAATTCGGGTTATTCCTACTCATGCCAGAAATGGTAGCAGAAATGACATGGTAGGAACTCCAAGCGACTGACAAGAGTTGTGTCCTTATAGCACTAAATATATAATTATTTTCATAATGAAAATGAACATTGTAAATAACAATGCAATAAAATAAAACACTGTTTAGCAATTTATAGTTAGGAATTGGGCCTGGGCTTGATTTGTTTTTCTTGACTTTTGCTATTTACAATCCAAGTTTGATTTCCAACCGCTGAACTACCCAAAAGAGAAAACAATGTATAGTTGATTTATATTGCCATATTTTAGGGTTAGTTTTTTGCTACCATTACCATTAGTGAATCATAACTTGTTTTATTTATGGACACATCGACAATAGTCCTTTCCAATTCTCCTTCTCTTTAATACAATGTTAACTTCATCAAAAAAAAATAGTCCTTTCCAATTCAGCAGTATCCACATTCAATGAGATGGTCCTGTGAGCATCAATGAACAAATTTGACATGGAAATATGAAGTTTAAATTGATAAAGGCTAATAAGAAGAGCCTATTCTTACCAGATTGTCGTTTCTTCAATGATTTCCGGTGCCTCTCAATAGCCTCCTTCGTTTCCAATAAGTACCTCTATTGGATATGCAACAAAATTAGTTCCACAGCCCCTTACACTTGAGTTACAAAACTAGCATTCCAAATCAAAATATAGTAAATGAATCAATAATGTGACAATTGCAGCAAGAATATGTGGCTGAAAAAGCAAGAATACCATGAGTTGAAACAACATGAATGTACATATTTTTTTCTTTGGGTAGCTCATAAAAATGGTTACTCATGATGCTATATCTGATGTTTTCTACCACTTGAACAGAGGCTACTTTTCTTTCTCCATAACTAACCAAAAAACTTTGATTACAGAGCATAGATGCCACTAGGCTGCTAAATTCAGTTAAAGAATTACAGATTACCATTCCCAGAATCTCTTTGCTGCAAGATCACATGATGCACTTAACATTATTCACCTAAAAGCATGCAATAGAGGAGGGAAGGTACACCATACTTCGAAGAGTATTAAGCCCTTATGGTACTCCTAGAAGCTATCGACCATTCATCCCTGCGAACTGACAGTCGAAAATAACCATTGTGGGGCCCACTGGGCATTCACCCAGGTATGGTTAATCTCCTTCGTCAGGAATAGCAGATGACACTTAGGAGTACCATACACTATGCAATATATGGTATGCTTTTCCAAACAAGGGAGCTTCAAAAGTGGATGGAATGGACACAAGAAAAGGAGAACTAAAAGAAGCATACAAGATGAGCTTGAACATCTTTGAGCGCTTGACCATCCTCCCATGTCTCCGATAGAACAGTACCAGCTCTGTCAGATTGAGTGAACCTTTAGAAACTTTCTTCATAACTTATAAAATGATCAAAAAAAACATAAATCACAAATTGATCATATAGCAGTTTTCTTACATGCAGATGGAAATGTAGATAACTTACTATTTTCAAATATGATAGCTGAAACTTGGAGAATAAGTGAGGACAATTCCCCAAGCCCCAAAATGTCAAAAAAAATTACAAAATAAACTCCCTATGTGAAAGCTTATCATTGTGCTGAAATATCGTGAACTTTTAAAAGTGCATTACATTATATGTATACCTCAATATGCCAACATTTCCCAGCCTTAAGGAATCCTGGCGTATCTTCATTCTTGCTTCCTGCCTCTCCGCTTTCGCAACAGCTATCAGCAGATCAGACAATACTTTTATTCGCTGAAAAAGCGAGCAAATTAAAGTTATACAAATTGGAAGAACACAACGGTTAATTATAAAGTACAACCGGGATCAATGACAATAAAGCCAGGGATCAAATTAAAAATGAAGCCCATGATCATGGGAAACCCCAGTGAAACCTCGACAGATGGAACAAAGGACAACACCTGAAAGTATTCATAAGAATACCCACCTGAAAGTATTCATAAGAATACCCATTTTCCGATCGCTATCAATAAAGAAAAGTACCAAAGAGAAAACTAGAGAGAGAGAGAGATCTAAATCATGTCCCAAGCAACAATCTGATTAAGAACTGAGAAAAGCAGGTTAAGTTACAAAAAGCCAATCACAGAATGCACATAAAAATATCGTTCAAGATAATGAACTCTGAGCTGAAACGGAGCCAAAGTATTTCATATGTCCAATTTATAAATTCAAAATATTCAATAGGGGAAGGAAAAAGACGTATAGTGTTTTGCATAAGTGTATAGGACAAGGATTAGAACACCTTTGGCTTCATCTGCTGCTCCTGGTCTTTTATCTCCCTCAGTTCCTGTACATATGACAGAAAAAACCATAACACTCAGCTGAGCTACCAAAAATGCTGCTTCAATAAATTTTTGGACATTTGAAGCATAACCAAATAAGTAAGAGGAGAGCAAATGCTGATCATTACCTTTTCTAATTGCCAGCATGTTTGTTGATGCTCAGCTGATTCTTGGCGTGCTCTAGGAAGTTCTTCTTCTAGGGATGCATTTTTGGCTCTCAAGGATGCCAGCTCCTCCTAATAACAGCTCAAGAGGAAGAAACAATGCGAATGATCAAAGGCTTTAACTTCAATCGAAAAGTGCACATTGCAAAAAGGTGGTGGGGATGTTTTCAAAGATGATAATGGTTGTGAAATCCTTACAATAAAGAATGACATGAATTATCAAATCCTTCCATAAAAACTATTTCGAGTCTATTTGAGAGCAGAGCGCTGCTTGTGTCAGGTGCATAACCATCCAAATATATTCTAAGAAAGAAAAATCCCATCTTCAACAATATTATTAACTTTAAATTTCAGGTGAAATGGCATACATGTAAAGAAGCCTTCTCGTCCTTGTCAAACTGTTCTCTAGACCAGTTCTCCTGCAAATGAAACACAAAATGTTCAAAAAATTGAATCGCCTGATTTCACAACAAAACCCAATCCGAGTGCATAAAAATGAAAGTTCATGCAGGCTTATTTAAAAGGAAGAAAACACAAGAAAGAGAATCTGAAACCCATAGCATAGTAAGTGTTGTCTGGTTTTCAATATCTTTCTCATTTCAGAGTTATTAGAAAACATAAAAGGTGAGTCTTAACCATTTAGAAATAACTAAAATAGAACATTCTTTTCATTTTATGCACAAACTATTGTCAATTCCTAACATTTTAGAGGGATACATCTTTTTCCCCGCCCATCGCCTAATCCGCATATAACTTCCTTTGAAGGAGAAGACATGTTAAGGGTAGAAATCAAGGGAGAAACAAGAGCTGACTCTATATAATGGTGCATTTGAGTCCCCTTCGTTATCTCACCATATGTGCTAATTTCTCGCTTTGGCCATTTGATAATGTAGTTATTGGAGAAGCCCCAACTGCACGGCTTGTATCATTTGCCCTTGAAGCACGCCCCCTCCCTGCCGCACTGCGACCCCGGCCACGACCATTTTTCTTACGGTTTGATTCTTCCACAGCTATTTGTAGGTCCATGGTATCCATGATCTTTGTTCTACCATCTACTACTCCCTGATCAATGATATACAATGGAACGACAAAAAAAAAAAAATCAACCTTTACTATACATGATAAGGGATAAATTGATAGGCTTTAGTAGCAATAAGCAGAAAGAGAAAAAAGGATGACTTCCGACTTTGCATCATAGGTCAGGATGGAATCAATCCCGGGACATAGCAGTGCAATTCACGGCACCATAACAATCATGCCAGGAGGCCAATACTACACGAATATACAATAATCTGCTTCGATTTTAATGAAACATGGAGTAACTTCTCAGTAAAATGTGCAGCATTGGATCAGCACAAAACAACTCATCAATGTCTACATTTTAATCAAAAATCACAATTAAGGTTTTCTTCAAGACATTTTATGCAACCCTGTGGCCCCTAATGACCATAAATGCAATTGAAAATGCAGGGTCGATAAAAGCCTCTGTTCTATCGGATGAATGATCAATGTGACCGAAGGAAATCTTTAGTGAAGTCCGTGTGCATATATGTGTGTTCATCCAATAAAAAGTCATACAAAGTAATGGCCTCTAATGTAGGAGCAAAAGGTAAATAAGTAGTCAAAATGACATAAAAAATGGTAGCACCATCAATTCATGCAATCTACATAAATCCCATTACGCACACCCATTGTTCCAATCATATCAATCCAGACAAACATATATATATTTGCATGAATAAGCATAAAAATAAAAGCACGTACATACATACATGCATGTATGCAAACATACATGGTTGCTTAATGAAAAATTTAAACAGAATAGACTAGATAACGTGCCTCTGATTGATGAGAAGAGGATGGTTGCTCCTCATCATTGCATCTCTGCCTCTTCTGAATGTTAGGTTGTATTAAATATTCATCACCAACCTGGAAATATAATTTATATCATCAGAAGGCCAAGAATAAAAGCTCAATACAAGAAAAATGATGTTAGAGGTCCAAAAGAAAAGTACATTGTCATACCCAACAAGACATAAATCGCCATAATCACTGAATCAATGGTTATCAGAACCTTGCGTCAAATTACAATCAAATATAGATTAAGAAGATACAAGACAATGTTCTATGGACAATTAAACATAATTGGACTAAAGACAATTTGCACCCACGAGAGAAAAGCTCTATGTTTACCGTTGCAATAAAAATTAATATTGGCATATTTGTCAAAACAGTTATCCATATAAACAAAGGAGTCAATCAACAAAACTAAGATAAAACCTCAAAACCCAAATGATCGAGCTGAAAAAAAATAACATTCAAGCAATTAGATAACTCACGTCATCGTCTGAATCAGTGGAAGTTGAAGTTTCGGCTATTTCTTCATTGGTCCCAGATTTAGCCGAAGAAGCAGAGTGCCATGGCACCTGAACTGTTGCGCCCTTCCCTGCCATTCTAGCTTCGAGTTTTGCAAGCTTTGTGGGCAAAGAAGGATCAGACTGGTTCGAATTTGAAGACAAATGCATTAGCACATCCTCGGACATGGCGGGTATAACCCAAAAATTACCCTTAAAACCCTAACCCAGTGGAAGAACCGCAGAAATGACCTAATCAGGCAATGATTTCCATATGGGTCCTCCAAATATATCATAATTCAACAAAATGAGCGCATTGGTTTTTCATGGGTGCGTGAAAAAACCCAGCACAGGGTCATAAGATACTCGAATTTCAACCAGAGACAACCCATTGCAGAAACCCATCAAATACAGAGAGAGAAGAACCAGTCAACTGATAGAGGGAATCCAATGTCTATAAGAAAGGAGATAAATGAGTTTAGAGAGAACAACAGTCATAACCCATTCTCAAAAGAGGTTTAAATGGCTCAATTTTGATGCAGGAAGATATTGGCAAGCAGTTTAAGTAAATGGAAGAAGACCTAGTTTACAGGGAGAGAGAAGTCATACAGGTTAGAGAGAGAGAAACGAACCCAATTTAGATGCCCGCATAGTAAACCAAGATCTCGATAGATAGCTTGTAGAGAGAGAGAAAAAAAGAGAGTGAGGTTATAGCAGCTTAAAAAGTGCTAGATCTCTGATAAGCACAGGAAACTGGAGATGGAAGAGATACCTCCAGATAAACAGTTGATGGGTACAGGAGAGAGAGAGAGAGAGAGGGCTGTTTTCTCTGGTTAACGGATGAACTAGACGGTGAAATAATGTGCGGGAGGAGGTCATTCGGGTGAAATCAGAAGCCTAGAGAGGGAAACACTTTCGCGGGAAAGAGAGGAACAGAAAAGGAAAGACACAATTGCCCTGGAAGGGCGCCCAAGTGCTTTAGACCATTGACGTGCAAAGATGTCTAAGAGTGACAAATAATGTGAAAATGGGAAGAGAAAGGAGAGAGAGATCGATCTAATTCTAATGTTGAAAATCAAAAAACCAGGGCTAAATATAGTTATGGTTTTGCCACTTTCAACAATTTATTTGAGACAATGGTGGTGTAATGGATAACTGTGGTATGGGCGTTAGCCCTAATTTTGACGGTGGATGTATCTTTGAGTGTGGATACTACTTGGTATCTCCCTGTGACCTTCTCTATCTCAACAGCATTTCACTCCATTTTTTCTCTCTAAAAAATTGATCCATATTCTTTCTCTTGAAGTGATATTTTTGGGTTTAGATTCTAAATAAATTATCATAAATATAACTTAAATTTAGTTTAATTGAAAAAAAAACTCGTGCACCTTTTTTTTTCTTATTTTATATATATATATATATTATTAAAATAACCTATCGTGTAGAAGACACATGGAGTTTTTGAGAGTGGAAAGGACTCTTCCGTAAATTATAAAAGATTGCTTCTTCTATTAATTTTTTTATGGAAAAGGGGTCTTCTAAAAATGAACACATTTGAACATTAAAAGAAACTACATGAAAGATCACCCTTCCACTTTACTGCTTCCACACAGTAATATCAAACATGGAAGTAGGACATTTAACTCCTATTTTCAGAAACTTCTACTTATCAAACACGCCCTAAGTATCATGATGTTTAGTATATTTTATATAATATTTTAAATACCATCAATATCGTATTTTATCCGGTACTTTAAGTACCATAATTTTATAGGCATTCTATACTGCACTTTTAATACCATAATATCATGAATCTTTGTTATGGTACTCAAACTGTCATAATTATTTTCTGTCCTTTTTTTGCAATTTATTTATCATAAAACTATATTTTCATGATTGTTTTATTCTAATCTTTCTCAGTCTCTCCTCTCTCTCATCGATTGAGCTTGTACGCAACAATAATAGGTGACAACAAAATGAAAATTGTTTTACAATTTGGTGATTTTTTCGAGAGGAAATTTAATGATTGACATACTTTCTATGAAAGTAGGGACATATAAGTTATATTTTTTAAGGGGATCCATCATTTGACCAATTAAATGATCACTTGTCAAAAGTGTCAAATTATACCCCAAGTATCAAGACAATTTATTATGTATTTACCCTAAATTGGTTGAAATGCTACAAAATACTCCACAAAAAAAAAATTGAGAAATATTTATCATCTCAAATATGTGATCAGGTGACGAAAATGAGGGAGAAAGATACCCCGTGAGAGATTGTACGCCATAGATGTTGAGGTGAGCAGGAATAATAGAGCCCTAAAACGGTAGAAACATAACCGTAAAGGAGAAAATGGGTTCATATTAGGGTTTATAAGAGTCGATAGTATTACGGCATTTCGAACGCCATAATACAAATTCAACTTCTTACGGTAATAAAAATACCATATAACATGGTTAGATTTGTGCGGTACTTAAAGTACTGTAGTATTACTTCAAGTTATTAATGTATTTAAAATATTGTATAAAATGTGATATGTATTATAGTAGTACGACTACCGTGAAAGTTATTTTAGTAAAAAAAAAACAAAAATGATGAAAAATAGTGTAAACGAGATTTACCAATATTGAGGTTATTTTTCCAATTGGCTAAAATTAAAATATATTTATGATAATTTATCTAAATTCTATAACCTTTATTGGTGTGGTTCTCTCTCTCTAACACTTCATTCAGAATTGTTATAAAGTGTCAGGCCGGGCTAGGGCAAGTATGGGCTATGCGTTAAAGGCCACATACAGGGGCCTCGTAGGATATTTCAGACCAATATATTTGTGAGCCAAGTCCGGGCTAGCTTGGCCTTAGACAGAAAATATTTGAAATGTAAATAAAAAGTAAATTTTTAAATACTTATATAATGTCTGGCCCGAGGCAAGAAAATTTGTTTTAACTGGGAATGGCTCGGCCCTTGGTATCATGAATTTGGGCCCCGCTCAGGACAGACCTGGGCCCGCTCAAGACAGACCTCGGCCGGACCCGACTTGTTAATGGCCTAAATCCATCTCTTGAAGTGATATAACTTTGTATAGTAGTATGATAACGTAGCCCCCAACATTACATTCTCCCTCCATTTCACTCTCTTAAAGTATGGATGGTGTAACCAGCAGTGTAGGTCTCTCTTTAGCAAATATTTCATTCCATTTCTCTCTTTTGAAGGATGTGTCTCTCTATCTCTAGTATTCCACTCTGTCTACTATTTTGGAGTGTGTGATGGGATCATCTTCTCTCTTATTTTTGTTCTCGTGTGTAGGGTGGCTTCTTGCAATTCAATCTGCTCTCTATATATATTTATTTATCTATTCAAACTTGAAAGAGCTTGCATGACTTTATCTTGAAGTGGACCTTGTAGATTTGCCACTATTTTTTATTAGAGAGGTCAATCATTGAAGTTATTTTTCTATTTAAATAATTGATTGAAAAGTTTAGAGGTACTGTCTCATCTACACCGTCCAAATGTATAGGCAGTTCAGATTATTGAGACCTTGTTTCTACAAATAAAGTTGCAATCTTATATAAACTTTATGTTTTAAAATTAGTTGGACTGACAAAATACATAGTATGCAAGTTTAGTATAAAGGTTGAGATTAGAAATTAGTCAATATTAATAGGCAAAAAGCATCTAAAATATATTATTTTCAATATCTCTAGTCGACAATCAACGAAAAATGAGAGATTGAATAAGATGTTGCTCGCAGATTTAGAGCCAGTTGGATGAAGTGGAGATATACTTTTGGAGCCTTTTTGTGATTGTTGCATAAGAATGAAATAAATGGATAAATTTTTATAAGATGGTTGTAAGACCAATAATACCTTATAGGATGGAATATTGGGTGGTCAATAAACAATACATGCATATAAAATGATTATATTTAAAATGATGATATAAGGATGTATAATAGACAATACAATGAATGATAGAATTAAGAATGGATATATTTGGGAAAACTTAGTAGTAGCTCCAATAAGCGATAAAATAATGAAATGTGCGTTTAGGTGTTTTTTTTTTTTTTTTAATTAAAGGCAATATTCACTAAAAACAAAACAAAACAAAATAAAAAAGATAAATGCTCAATTAGTGTAGTCATGTGAAATGTCGATTAAAAACAATATTGGTTAAAAGGGGTGATTTGGTTAAAGTGAAATGTTCTAAAAATGTCAAGATGATGGCCCTAAAGGACATGATGAAACTAGTGATAAAAGTTATAGTGATTTATAGGTGCATGAGGGTATGACCCTTAGTAAGGTATAATGGTAGAACATGATTTTTCAGCCCGATCCTAAACCCAAACAGCTGGGATAAGGCTTAGATGGCGATTATGATGTTAGATTTGAAAAAGTTATATATCATAATATTTACATAACTGCAGAAATAGTAAATAAGATATTTTGAAACTTCAATTTGTAAGATAAGTTGAGGGATTTAATGGTATTTTATTTCAATCGATTGATGTTCACGATGGATTTTGGTTTTTGGATGGTAGACGCGCTTGAATAGTTGCGTCCCAAGATGTAGTAAACCGGTTTTTTCATAAACCACACGTTAAATTACCATTCTGCCCGCAGGCGTCCTTTTTCGTCATTTTTCAAATAACAGCGCCCAAACTAATAAACCCGCGAATTCAGAGTGCAGGCATACTTCAAAAAATTCGAAACTACATAGGGGCAATTTCAGTAATTTAATTTTGAGGAAAGCTATAAATGACTCGAAGTTTTTTTGTGTTCCCTCCATGCAAAAAGAGAGGGAAAAAAGACCCTAGAAATGGCGGCCACTGAAGCGCGCCAGAGTGACACAGAAAACCCTAGAATAGATACAGGAAACCCAATCATCATGGATGAGAAGAATGGAGAAAGTGGAAACCCTAAGATAATGGACGCCATTGATGATGATCACAAGTTTTATCTTCAAATTGAGGCAGACGAAGAACCATTAAGTCTCAGATCTGATACTATCCAAGCCCTAAAGGAGTTTCTATTGGAGCAACAGAAGCTTCAACAAGAAGAAAAAGAGGAATACAATAATGGTGTCGATTTAGTGGATGAGGACTGGAGGCTGAGCCAGTTCTGGTATGATGAAGAGACAGCTGAAACAGTAGTCAGCGAGCTGAGACATTTGAGCCTACTGACTTCATCTCCGGTTGTTTGCATTTCATGTCCAACTATCTATGTCTATCTCAAGGTTGGCTGTGTAATTTCAAATCCATGTTTTATTTTTTTTTAATTTCAATATGCAATTTTTCATTTGATTCATTAGTTATCCTTCATTCAATATCTGCAAATAACACATTTTTTTCTTGTGCCCTGTGACGTTGTTATGGTATTTTTGTTTGCCTGTGTTCACTTTTTCGTAGTGTTAATACGTGGTGAAGGTAAAGAGGCAGATTCACTTTAATCCATTTATAATTAATCGTGGAGGTATTACTGAGACTTTATATATTTTATGATTTCAGAAAATTCAACCAAATATCAATGTGAAGCTCCTCGAGTATGACAAGCGGTTTGAGCAGTATGGCAGTGATTTTACATTCTATGACTATAATCAGCCTGAAAATTTGCCACCAGAATTAGAGCATGCTTATCAAATTGTTGTTGCAGACCCTCCTTACCTGGTAAAAAGTGCAATGTCCTTGTCACCTTGCATAGTATATTGTCCTTTACATTTGCACTTCATGTTGAGGTATTAAAGTAAATGAATAAGAAATCATCAACCCATGTACATACAAGCAAGAGTTATCCTTCAGAAGATATGCGTCATTCTTTTTTAATTCTTCGAGGAGCTATGTATTGACAAGATCCAAAAAATTGGCTTTTATTATTTTGTGATGTTCAAGCTGATAATTATTTAGTGATAAAGTAGATGTGATGTTTTCCTGTGATTGTGACTGGGAGCTAAAATTATTGAAACGCTATCAATATTTGTAAAATGCAGGTTGTATCGACTATTAAGATTGCAAGATTTATCTCTATCAGATTATGTGGAAATTGTATTCTATTTATGTATTTGTGTCTCTTTTGTATGGTGCTAGAGTAAGGAATGCCTGGAGAAAGTTGCACAAACCATATCATATCTCAAACAGCATGAACAATCCTACTTGCTCCTGCTAACAGGTATACGTCCTATTCCCTCATAGGGTGTATGAAATGATAAAGGTGTTAGAACTTCAAGAAATTGCGGAAACCCATTTTAGTTCCAGAGAAAAATCCAATGTTCGTAGTCTTTAAGTACTGGTTTTTTAATTATTTTGTATTATCAATGTACAATCCTCCATCCTCCCCCGTGTTGTGTTCTCTATGGAAAAATTGTTTGGTTGGCTAGAAGATTTTCCTTGCTGATTATGCTATCAATGTCGAGAGAAACATTGGTTGTTGCATCCAAAACACTGTCTGAATCATCATAGGCCTTTCAGTTCCTGGAAACTTAATTGAAGTTGTCTTAATAATATTCATTATCAAAAAAAGGTTCTCTTATGTGGACCAAGCATGGTTGGTTAAACCATGCCATTAAAATCATGTATGATATTAATTTGAGGAAGCTATGCTGAAGAGACACAAGAGTTTGAAACTTGAGCTTGTGAATATTTTGACAATTGGAAATTGGTGCTTATATAATAGGTCTCATTGAACTCTCAGTAGACAAATAGTCATTGTTATTTAAAAGTAAAATTACATTTGCGATTGTGTATTTTTCAATTCTGATAATTTATCTGTGCCAGCTAGTTGGATATCAGACCATTTTGCATGCTGGGGTTTCCCTACCTGCTTTTGCATAATGAATTACACAATCATATATGAATGAGGATGTTATTTGCATTTTTTTTAGTCCATGACTCTCAGTGTCACGTTTCTTGGAATATCCAAAATGTGTACAGTAGATGACTAGTGACAAAAGGTGTATCTAACTCACAATTGTAAAACACTAGAGCCTATGTATCAGAAAAATAAAGGAATGCATGGTATGCTAAGTATGAGTATGGCATTGAGTACTCATAGCCAATATCCCCTTCTATACTTATCCCCAGAACGTGGAGATGAGTAGCTGTTCACACTTAAAAAGAAGGGCAGCGTTAAAAGCGGACAACAACTCAGCTCCACCATCTGTGTGGATAATTTCAGATGGTGGATGTTGGGTTTGAGGCTTTGAGCATCCTACATTCCCTCCAAGTATAGCATATTTTCCCATAATAATTTTGGTTTCCTTAAAGGTTGCTAGCAAAAAGTGATATTTTTTTTAAGCTGAATGGAAATATACGGTTAAAGCTGTAGAGATCATTGCTTGTTATTCCCACCTAGGTCCTCGAGACAATGCAGTTATAGTGGAATAAGTGGTGACATTATTGCTTTCCTTGTCCTTATGACGGCATTCAGAATTTTCATTAGTTGGTCTTTTCCTCATTCTCTGCAGAAATATCAATAATGTTTAGAACCACTGGTCTCATTGATTTGCTTTATTTTCCCTTATTCGTAAATACATGTTTGTGCCTTTATGTGTAGTGTGTGGTGTGTGTGCGCATGTTCGTGTGCGTTTAGGACATTAGAACCACTGGACTAATTGGATTGTTCTCTCTCTCTCTCTCTCTCTCTTTGTATTTCTTTTATTCTTGTTGAGATACATATGTGCGTCCCTTTCTATGTGTGTGTGAGCGTGTGTGCATGTGCATTGCATTAGCCTATAGGCTAATACTGTACAAGTCTGGCACCCTAACTTTTTGGTGTTAACTGTATTTTATTTTTAAGGTCAGTTTTTGTACATATCCTCTTGATCCTAGCGAATATCCCCAGGGAAAAGTTTGGAAAAAAGAAAAAAGAAAAAAAGAACTGAAAAAACTGGTTTTCTGAAGAGTAACTGAGAAAGAAATTGGTGCACTATTCTTCAGGTAAATGTCACCCAAAAAAAAAAGAAAAAAGAATTTGTTCATCTAGTTTTTAGGCAATTATTCATCTAGTGTTTATTGTAAACTGATGGTGTTGAGGGTAGTGAACTAGGTAATGCAAGTATCTCCCACTGACACATGCTCGCATTCGCATGCATGCATGCACACACATGCATGAGAACTGTCACGTGAGCCGGTCGGCCTATTGAACTGTATGGCTGGGCGACTCAGATTCAATCTAGACGCATCAACAGCCAGTGTGTATGGTCAGTGTTTGATTTTTAATATTTTCTATTGATCATTTTGAGCTGAACTTACGTGGAGAGATGAGTCGAATCTAGGCACGGATGAGAAAAATATTTAAAAAATCATATGCTCGAAGGAAATGGATGTAAGTGCCCCTGCCACTCTCAGTGAACTTGACTTCCAGATTGATAAATATGGGCCTTCTAGCCTACACTGTGGTATAGGCCTGCCAGACCATTAAATCCACTCCCACATACACACGCGCACACATACACAGAGCAAAAGGCTTACACTGTTTTTTATAATTCAAACTCAGTTGACGTTGTTGAGGGAATTTCCCTCGGCATTCAGCGGCTTAGGTTTGAGGATTTCGATAACGTTAGTAAAATGAAGGATGGTCTCAAATGAACACCGCATCCTCCGATTGCCTGGTGCATTCTTGGACTTTGTTTGTTTTTCATTTTTCCTTTTGTGGATAATTTGGCTTCAATGGTGATATTATTGAGGGCGTCTGATATGCACCTTCTGTGCTTCACATGTTGCGTGCCACAACTCATCATTGTTGACATCATATTTTAAGATAAAATTATATGATTCAAGATTGCAAAGTACCTTTTTTTTGTGATTACAAAGTATCATTTATGTTGTGATCTGTTTCAGCTTTGTGTCCTTTGAGTTCAAGCTTTTTTTTTTTATCATAATCTTTCTTATCCGTAAGGTCCACTTTAATAGAGCTGGTTGGGCTACACTCTTTTGCAGGTGAGGTGCAGAAGGAGCTGGCAGGAGACCTCATAAACCTCTATCCATGTGGTTTCAGGCCCAAGCACTCTAGCAAATTGGGGAATGAATTTATGCTCTTTACTAGCTACAATCCGGAGGAAAGATTAGGTGGATGGGCGAGAACCAAAATGTGATGATATCTCTACTTGTGGTAATACATTTTTGTTTTTCTTCAACATTTCAATATTCTAGCTCATATAAATGTAAATGTGAACCATTCAATGGAAACTCTTTTCTCATTGTAGTTAGGAAAAGTACACAAAGAGACAATTTACTTTTAGTATAATGAGGTTACAATCAATCATGTCCGTCATATTTTAAATCAGGTGGTTGTAAGTATATTATTGACTCCATTCAAAGTTCAGAAAAAAAACAAAAAAACCGCGAATTTCGTGACACCACCATGCTATCCAATTTGATATCTAATGGCTAAGAATGATTGTGACCTTCTTGTAATAATGATAAATGGTCTCATAGCATACGATCCCCTTGTAGTTATTATGTAATTTCTTAGGAGATCTTTATAAATTTGGGTTTTCTTAGAATGTTCTTACAAATATAAGAAATATTTGGGAAGAATGTGTTTCCATAAACCTGTAATTGTCTACTTATCTTTTTGACTTTTGCATTCATAAATCTACATGTGCAGTTTTTTTTTAAACACGATTTCACAATCAAGCTTAACTTAATTTTGAAAATAAGTAAAACACAATATAAGTTATTGATATTGAGTACAAGGCCTCTACTTGTAAGAATCTCGTGATGTATTCATGAGATTTCCATTGAAGAGGAAATATTTGTAAGTTCCAATATATTTATTTTGCTCGGTCCATTTTACATTCCACCTTTTCCAGACTTTTGACGACTGGTTCATCTTAAAGTTGCAATTTTAGGTCCAGGATGCATGGTGCAATCTCTGCTCTTCTTCCATGTCTTTTGCTGCTTTCGTATGTTTTATGGCATGTACTCTATTAATGAATGGTGAAGAATGGAAATTGAGAACCGAATCGAAGGACAACTACTTGGATGCAGACCACATGGATGTCATTGACCTTCTTCACTCCAGTATTGCCCATTGCTTTGTAAATATGGGTTCTTATGTATGCTTGTGTTGAGAGAAAGATTCTCTGATATTTGATGTGTCGTCTCTAATGTGATTGTCATGGTATTTGAAGGGTGTATGTTAGTTCTTTCTTTGAAAGGGAAATGATAATCTTTTGGGTATCTAAGATAATTAGTGAAAAGATGGGGTGGAGAGAGAGAGAGATAGAGATAGAGAGATTTCTTAGGATGATCTTTGATGTATAATTTCTAATGCAGATTTATAGTCATGGCATTTCAAGGGTGTATTTATAATCATGGCATTTTAAGAGTTTATTTAGTTTCTTTGAAAAATAAAATTTATCATCATCATAACTTTTTTTTTCAACTATTTAAGATCGGCTATATAAATTCTGGTTCTCCATTTGCCATTCTACTTCCAACCATGTCTTTTTGGCTGTTGGGATTACTGATAAATAGTGTATAGGTCAAAGCCCTGTTGGTCTGCAAAAAAAGGTGATCAACTCTTTTATAGCAAATTGCTTTCACGGGAAAACTGTTTTACATTCGCAAACTATATAATGCGAGAACCAAATGAGCGCTAAAAACTTATACAAGAAGGCAAGAGGTACAATGAGGAAGCAGATGCCTTGCAAAGTTTGAGATAATATGCAAATTTGTAGTGGTTATTAAACAATTGTACATGGAACATTTTTGTGAGTGTTATTAGATTATATACCTTTTGAACAAGAAGGTGATAATCACTTTTAGCCATTAGATGTGAAATTTAACAACTTGGAGTATGATAAAGAAAGTTTCGAAAATTTTCTTTTAACCTTTGAGATTGTTGTCGTATCAACCAAGTTTATTTATCACCCCCTTGTACTATAAATAACAATCTCATTATATTTTTTTTACTCTTTTTTTTTTTTTGAATGTTCAATACATTCGGAGTTGAAAAAAATTAATCAAATTAATCCTAGTTAACACCCCAAAAAAGAAAAGAGAGAGAGAGAGAGGTGAGAGGATAGAGGATAAAGCAAGTAGAATACATACGTAAGCACGTCAACCCATTAATTTGAACTAGAGTTATTAGGATCGGATCAAACTAACAATCGGATTGCTAATCAATACTTTGGTTGATCTAGTCCAATATTAAGAACCATGTTTGATTAAAAATTGATTAAAATTATTGTTTGATTTATCTTGATTGATTCGACGTGCAACTTTCAATTGATTCCACAAAGGAAAAAGTTTATATAAGGTTGCAACCTTGAAATGTAAAATTACATATGCATCTCAAAAATCTATCGGAAAAGTTTATTTTAGTGTTGAAAAAATCTCTAATTGATCATCTTGACATTGAGATGTAAATTTTTTAATCTCATAAATAGTGCATCTCTCAATACATTATCTAGATCATCCATTTTTAAGACTTTCATATGTTTATAGATCTACTGGATTTTAACCATTTTGAGTTTTAAAATTTTATAATTAGATATGAACCATTTTTTAGTTTAAAATTTTATAATTAGATATGAACCATTTTTTAGTTTAAAATTTTATAATTAGATATGAACTATTTTTGGAGTTTAAAATTTTATAATTAGATATGAAAATAGATTTTTAGATAATCCCTAAAATTTGTTTCACCAAAATTATATGTTATGATGAAATTTAGAAATGTGCCGTAAATAGATTGTAAAGTTGCAACCTTATAGAAACCACACCCTTCAACAAATCAAAATAAAACGGCGGCTTTTTATATTGTAAACGTGAAATGCGGGCACCTTGCAAAGCCCGCGAGGGTAGAGAAGCCCAAACCAGGTGAGGGAGGGCATTTTCGTCATCGTTAGTTTGCGGAAGAAGCAGAGGAGTGGGAAAGCTGACTTCTCCGTATATCTTCTAACTCTCCTTTAATCTCTCTATCTCTCTCTTTCTTACACGCGAACTCTCTCTCTCCAGAGAATGAGATCAAACATAGTCACAGAGGTATGCGAAATTGTATCCAATTATTGTAAACTTTCTTCATCTTTCGCTCTCTAGATCTTATAGGTTATCTCTCCTTCATTAAATCCGTCGTTCTCTTCTTTTCTGTTTTCTTAGATCTTTTATTATGAGATTCGATCTTGAATTGCACAAATTTTAATTTCAGTGCCTGCTACGAATTATTCCTTCTCTGTTGATATGAGATTCTGATTTTCTCCCATCTTTAACGAATTTTAGTGGTTTAATACAATGAACTGTTAGGAAACAGGAAATAAGCGGGGCTCGAATTGTTACTTTAATTCATTGTTTTCTGTATATCAATTTGGGTTTTCGAATTTATATTTTACGTTTTAGTTGATTTACCCCTAGTTAGTAGCTTCTCTTTAAAGTTCAATTACATCTATCGTGGATTTTTCCTTTCTACAGATGGGATTATTAATATTTTGCTGTGTTTAGTAATCTTTTATAGGGTTTGGAACACCCTCAGAATTCTGTATTTTTTACGAAGTTGGATGTATTGTTGATAAATTCTTGTAAGAAACTTAGGGTTTTTTATTAGGGTTCTGTTTTAAGTGTTTCTTTTTTTCTTTAATGTGAATATCTTTGAAGTGATTAGGCAGTGTTTTTTTTGCTATAGCTGGTTTGAAGGTATAAAAATGGGATTTTCTATTTTGGGGACAAAAATCTTAAGGAATTGGGAATTATAAGGGAAACCCTGTTAAAAGATCTGATGTTTGATCTGAGGATAAAAAGGATAATGATATTGATGCAAGTATGAAATACTCCATAAAAATACCTATAACTCATCCTTATTAGGAACTCGTAATTTCTTGACCATTTCTTATTGATATAGTGAAGTTTGCAATCACTTGTTTTTTGTGTGAAGAATTGTTGAAAAGTAGCAAAGCTCATATTTTTGGGGTTACTTGAGGAAATGGGGCATTTCTTTTGAATTTTTCTCTACAAACTTTGACATGAGAGAGAGAGAGAGAGAGAGAGAGAGAGAGAGAGAGAGAGAGAGAGAGACGTAGACGAACGAAACTACGACGACACTACGTACGTACTAACTACTTAAGTTTAGTTAGTTAGTTAGTTTAGTTACGTTATAGTTATAGT